TATCATGTTAAGTCTAATGATGACCTTGGACGTTAAATGAACATTTCCTATTGGCCATTATTTATTTAATTCGTTAAATATTGTACAAATGTCGTTTTCTATTTTTATGGTACGATGTGGTCTGTTTGGCTAGTATATAAATAGAGTATGTCTGAAATACAATGATTCATATATCCGAGGCTGAGACTTGCGTTCTGGACTTAACTCGCTGGGCTAGACAGGGAAGCGGGGCCAATCAGAACCCTAGGTCGTTCTACGTGTTTGCGCGTCTTTGGTCCGATCAATAATTCGCTACCCCTTAATCAGCAACATTTTTCACAGTCATAACAGTGTGACATGGTTTCGTGATATGAAAGAGAGCTGTACAGTACTGGCTTCTTTCTCTATGACATACATACATAAATAAATCCTCCAGTTAGTTAAAAAGAATGTTCAAGACGTAGTATCAATAAGACAAAAACCCAGTAAGCAATTATAAATATGGACTACAATGCGTATTTAAGTAATAAGATTTAAACATTTTACTATAAAATAAAAATGAAACATATTTCATTTAGAATTGTTTATTTATTTACTTTTACCAAAGCAATTTACAAGAAATTAATAGGTTATCAAGCATCTTTAGTCACGTAGATCAATGGGGTTGTATGCAGATGATGAAGTATTTTGAAAGGTTGGAAAAAAACAGTAGTTTATAACCTCGTGATTATCTCTAACAGTTATAACAGTAATCTTTACTTCTTAGATTGACTAAGTTCAACCAAAAGTCAAAGTTTTGGTGAACTAAAGGCCTTAAATAAAGTATAGATTGTAGCTCTTTAATTAAGGCTGTTATAGCATCAACTGACTTTGAAATACAATGCAAAAAGACTTGAGGTTTAGTCACCTTTGTAATGTGTTATCTGACGACTGAGTCATTAGGTTATGCAAGCAAGTTCTTCTCAAGACACATCGTTCATAAAGATCTGTTAAGTAGTTTACTATAAAATGTTTCATCTAATATTATCACAAACGACCATTCAGTGATTAGATTATGTATATCTATATTCCCCTTATTATAAGTTTCATTTTGACCTATAGATTATTATTATATGATTTACTGTTCTTAAGTTATGTTCAGTTTATTGATTACAGTTTCCCACGTTCACAGCCACTTTTGGCTTTATTTTGTATAAATGTTATTACCTATTTTATGGTGCGATGCGGTCTGTTTGGTTGGTGTATAAACCAAGTATGTCTGAAATAAATGATTCGCATAGAGGAAGCTGTTATTGGTGTTCTGGACTCAACTGGAAGGGCTATGCGAGCGAAGGACCAATAACGACGCTAGGCTGATCAGATCGGTCGAACGTCATTGGTTTAGTACAGTACAAGAGTGAATAAGTCGTATTTCGATTGACGAATAAATTACATGACAACTAGCCGGACTTAGTCAAAACAGAAAAACTTGTGCCTTTAAACTAGTGGTAACCCAAAATAAAAGTAGTCGTAAACAATTATTGTCTATTTACAATTACTGGAAATATCAATGGTAAGTTTGCTGTTGTTCGTTATCATGAAGGAGTAACAAACAGTTTTCGAAGAAATTTGACAATCTTTAAGTGGCCGGAAGTTAGACGTCTTAAAATTAATTGAGGTAGATTAATATAAATTGAGAATTTCTGTTTAAAACTGAGATTCAATGAGGTCTTAAGTTGTTTATAACACATGATAACATCAAAATGAATGTGAGACATATGAAGAGTTCTTTCCGACTGAATAGCCAAACAAAATTAATATTGGAAAAATAATAACTGAAACCAATTACCTACTTTCTATAATTAAGTAGATGATTTAAAAATACAAAAATAGATGTCACACAGAGTCTCGACCATTGGTTACGATAGTCACGCGGACCACAACCAAGTAGTCTGCATCTACCAACATGGCTCAGACTAGAAGTTAGTGACTTCAAGCACTGATAACACGTTTTGGTTTGGCCGCCCTTAACTTTCTTCCAACCATACCCAAAACTAGTCAACATTTAGCGCCGTGGTAATCGGTGTTCAAGTATACGTAACAGGTGGCCCAACCAACTCAGTCGATGAAGATTTACAACCTCATCAACTGATTTACCATCATTCCCTAATACCATCCATCTAACCTCACAATTACTTACGCGGAGATCCCAGCAAATGCCAGCAATATTTCTAAGGCATCTGTGGTCAAATACTAGTAGCTTGCGAATATCTTCAACTCATAATAGCCAAGTTTCGCAGCCGTAAAGTACGAAAAATGGAACTGCCGCGCAGTATAATTGCATGACGCTATGAAAATCGTGAGTAAAGTCGCTTGCAGCTTCGCGAAACATCCCACTTATAAGCACTGGGTTTCTTCTGGTTCCTTACAACTCATTGAAGCTCGTCGGTCTACTCCGTGTCACCGAGAGTTTGATCACAAACGAAGGCTGTTACGTAATGAAATCAGGAGAAGCTTGCGTAAGGACCGAGAAGCCTGGTAGTCGGAGCGTTCTAATGAGCTGGAAGCAGCAGCTGCATCTGGTAACTACCGGATGCTCTTCCAACTCATCCGAGTCACTGGCAGCAAGAAGTCTGGTGTGAGCTAAACAATCTGGGAGGATGATATGATGTCAATCATTAACATCCATCGACGTCTTGGACGATAGGCAGAGCTCTTCGAAAGGCAGTTCAACGGGTCTGCTGCTCCGGCAACATCGGTCAGACTGTCCTGCCCTCCATGGCCGGTGACGACTGATCCACCAAATGAGGCGGAAGTCATCAAGGAACTTCAACTCTTGAAGCGTCACAAATCACCTGGCCCAGATGACTTACCTCCGGCTCCTTTTAAAGATGAAGGTGACTTTCTGGCTAAGGAACTGACTGTGTTTTTTAAGAAGGTCTAGGAGCTAGAGAGTGTACCAACGTCATGGAATGAGTCGATAGTTGTCCCTATCTTTAAAAAGGGTTCACGTCGTTCCCGTAACAACTATCGGGGGATAAGTCTACTTCCGATTGCGTCCAAGCTATTGGCTTCCGTCATACTTCGTAGGTTGTTCAAAACCCGAGATAGATTGACTCGCGAGGAGCAGGCTGGGTTTCGTTCTGGTAGAGGATGTATTGATCATATCTTCACCCTCCGCCAAATGTTAGAACACCGTCATAATTTTCAAAGGCCAACAATCGTAGTGTTTCTTGACATCAGGGCTGCCTTCGATTCGTTGGACAGGGCTGTTCTCTGGGATTGTCTGTTGAAGAAGGGTGTGCCTGAGAAGTTTATTAACATCCTAAAAGCCCTATATACAAACACCTCAGGCAGAATGAGGGCATACAACCACCTTTCTCCATTGTTCCATTCGAGCAGTGGGGTTAGGCAGGGTTGCCCAATCTCACCATTCCTCTTCAACTTTGCCATCGATGACATTCTGGAAACAGCTCTGATGGATGCAAGTAATGGCGGTGTGGATCTGTTGCCTGGAGAAAGACTTCTCGACCTTGAGTATGCGGACGATATTGTCTTACTGTGCGATAATGCCCAAGACATGCAATCCGCACTTAATCAGTTGGCGATCAGTGTCCGTAGGTATGGTATGTGCTTTGCATCTTCGAACTGCAAAGTACTTCTACAAGACTGGCAGGATTCTAATCCTGTACTCACCCTGCGTGGTGAGCAGATAGAAGTAGTTGACAAGTTCGTGTATCTGGGTAGCTGCATAAATGCTGGTGGTGGTGGCGTGAGTGATGAGATCAATGCACGTATAGTGAAAGCCAGAGCGGCATATGCCAATCTGGGCCATCTTTGGCGCCTTCGTAATGTTAGTCTGGCCGTAAAAGGTTGGATCTACAACGCGTCGATGAGAGCAGTTTTGCTCTATGCTTGTGAAACCTGGCCTCTCCGAGTTGAAGACGTTAGACGACTCTCTGTGTTCGATCATCGCTGTCTCCGAAGGATTGCTGATATCCAGTGGCAACACCATGTTAGTAATGCAGAGGTTCGGCATCGTGTGTTCGGGCACAGAGATGATGATGCAATTGGTGTCACCATCTTGAAGCACCGACTTCGGTGGCTTGGACATGTTCTACGAATGTCGTCCCAGTGATTTCTACGTCGTGCATTATTTTCCGACCCTGGGACTGGTTGGAAAAAGCAGAGGTGGTCAATGCATGACATGGTGTCGTGGTATGAAAGAAATCTGCAAAGGACTGGCTTCTGTCGGTCCTTTACGACTCCCTGGTTGGGGTCCGAGAGATGGTGCTACACAGTGGCTAGAGACGTTATCAGATATGGCTCAGAACAGAAGCCAGTGGCGATCCTGCTGTAACCTTTCTTCATAAAAAGTGGTTGCTTCTTCCTTAACTGAAAGATCTCTTCTGATTGTACGTTTCTGTTTCCCCCATTATTATTATTATTACACTACCTTACACTAATCTCTTCGTTATTGTTCTTTTTTTACGCTCTTTACCTTTTTTCCCTTCTCTTCAAATTCTCATTGTTTTGTGTGGCGCATATATATATGGTGCCCTCTTGTACCAATGTTTATGTGTTCAAATAAATAAATAGATAACTGCAGAGAATTCATCACAAGCTATGAGCAAGCTAACACGGTAACCTCCTAACAAACAGAAAATGTTACGAACCAATTTAACTTATAACTACGAATCTTAACGAATATTATAGCAAGTTATTTATTTAAATAATGTCCATATTTGTTATTTTTTACGATGCACAGCTTAAAAAAAATACAGTAAAACATTTTGAAATATAATGATGAATATTCCATCCACTAACGATTAAAATATTTACGTAATTACACCCACCTTATTTATCAAACCTCAAGTGCATACAAACGACAGCTATATTATGTAACAATAATATGTAAATCTTTTAAAACCATTTCGAAAGTGATAGGGATATTGGAGATAAAGCAAAGAAGTTTTAGTTTATATAGTCAATCCGACTAAACTAAGACTCCCTACCATGAAAGCACTTTAATAGATACTTACCAAAATATTCAACAAATTTTTCTGCGTTGATTGTTGCCGACATGAGAACTATTCGAAGATCTGAACGAAGAGGAGCAATTCGTTTTAGCATACACAATAGAAAATCACATAAAAATTCTCGTTCATGTACTTCATCAACAATGATATGACTGATATTCTATAACGAAGAGATTCAAAGAATAGCGTAGCGCAAAGTTTATTGTCGAGGTTAATTTCTGTCAAGATTTAAACTAGCATTTTGTTAACTCAGTGAATACATGATAAAAATGGGAAGTAAAGTAACAAAGTAAAAACGTTTCTGTGTCTTATAAACTCGTATGGTGTTAGTACTACCACTAAAGTAAACTTCTGATTGAGAAGACACAGGAAACACAAAATCTGTGATTAGTTCAGTGGTTGAGATCATGGTAAATTGTTAATGAGTACTGATCGACCTTAAACATCACTTACAAGGCTTTAACTTCTGACAGTAAATAAAGTAAACATTAACGTCGATTCTAATGTGAATATTTCATAAATCAAGAATAAATCAGAGCTCGCGGTATATTGAAATTGTAATTGTATAAAAAATTTTCTTTGGGGTCCGCTCACTGTATTACTTAATTCATTAGCTAAAACATTTTCGATCTCTTGGCCGTAACCTTGAAGGTTCACTCACCTAATTTACATACAATAAATTTAACTCAAAGTGTATTTCACAGATAAATCCGGTTTTGTTCCTCATCATTGAAGATGAATTATAACAGTTTGGTACGGAAAAATCGTAAATAACTCGAAAAAATGATTAATGTTTAGTTACCTTTAGAAGTGGATCAGAACGAAACCATTGAAGAATAATTCCTGTCGTACAAAACATGATAGATCCATGAGGACGTTGAGGATATCGGCGTTCTAATCGGACCTGATAGCCAACGGAAGATCCTATAGATTGTCCTCTTTCAGTTGCTACACGTTCAGCAACCGAAACAGCACTTATACGCCGAGGTTGTGTTACAATGATACGCGTAACAGACCCATTTCCACCTAAGACCTGATCTTCCAAAATAAACTGTGGAACCTGTGTAGTCTTCCCACAACCTGTTTCACCGCTTATTATAACAACTTGGTTATTTCGAATAGTTGAGACAATATCCTAGAACAAAAGAACACTGAAGTGAATGTTGTTGTATATGAAGTTTATTTATTAATATTAAATATATTTTCAAGAAAAAAAAGATATTGTTATTGATGTGGCGTTTTATTGAGCTTCAAGATGAATATAGTCAAACAAATAGTTCGAGGCCAATTATTAAGATATTGACCTGAACAATCCATAAAACTAAATTTCTTCCAATATACTATGGTTAGCAGATATGAGTACGGAAAACAAGCTTACATTAAATGTGAAGCGGCAACTGTAAATTCGAATTTTCAACTTCAGCATCATACAAAGCAAACTTCTGAAGCGGATTTGTTTTGCATCTTTAGGGTATATTCCCTGTCTTATATTAGGAATATTTGTTAACATCATTGATTGATTAGTATGTAGTTGGTATATATAGAATTTTTCACATTAGGTAATAATTGTACTAACCCTAAAAAGATTACAAACTATATTAGAAGTGTACTGTCGTTATTTCTCTTTATAATCCTACATCATAAGGAGAGGTCGGAAAAATATATTGCCAGTGCAAGGTACTAGAATCCCACTCATCAAACTGTACAAATATAATTAAATAAACTAAATACCCACTTCTTTGAATTGGTATGCTGGGAGTTCACACCTGGATTCTGACATTTTTATGTACGCAGCAGAACTCATGCAGTTCCGCATTGAAAGACAGAGCTCATGATCGGTGTCTGGATTTCGAGCCAAGCTTTCTTTTGTTAATAACATTTGATCAGGATCAGAGCATGGACCCACTGAGACATCAAAGCAATCTTGAATCTCTCCAAATAATTCTTCTGCTTCGTCCTCTTCAGGAGTTTGTTGTGAAGTACTGAGAGTTGGGAGTTTACACATGGATGAAATATGTTCATTACTAGTTTTGGGGAGTTCAGGAACTGGCTCTACAAATTCTTGTATAACTGACTGAATTTTCGGAAGATTCAGGCCGACAAGAGGCATAGGAGCAAACTATTTAAATCAAGAATTTATAAACAGAGAGAAAATCTAGGCAAATATAAATATAGATTTTCAGGTCTAAACAGGCTAGAAATTAACATTTAATGAAAATGACCCAACCCGACTAAACTGAGCATTGTGAGGAAAAACCATACAATATGCTAATTAGACACATCTCAGAAACGTGATTGATTAAAGAGTATAGGGGAACAGGTATGACTGTGATGTAATCCAATATTTGATCTTTATTCTTAAGTCTTGAAGTGAGAAATGTGAAATTCGTCTACTCTTATGATCCATATTAACTTTCTCCAACAAGAATGGTGAGTTAGGTTTCGGATTGTGGAATCCAAACATCAACAGTATAATGCTCATTCAAAGTAAGACAATCATAGAAACAATAGTAGCATTAACTGCTTTTTAACCAGTGGTAAGAAAATATTCAGTCTCTTTTCATATTACTATTAACATTCTATTCTGAATAACCTTATAGGCATTGAACAAAATAAGTTATTTAGTAAGTAGAAATAGAATAAATTCGAGAATTTAGTACAGATATGATTTACATGTCAGTAATAAATTATTTTTGTCTTATTGCTCGGCAACGCATTTCGGAGGGTTTAGAGGATAATGAACAGCAAAGATGTTGCAGTATTCCACTATTTTGTTTTACTTCACAATGATGAAACGTGGACTTTCAAAGTAAGGGATATAAGTAAGTTAATGTTATTTGATCATAGTTGTCTTTGAAGCATTTTTCACGTAAGTCGGGAGCACTGAGTGAGCAATGCTGAGGTTGGACGTAAGATATCGAGCAAAGATGACAAATTATTTAATGAGGCTACGGATCTTCAACGATTAGGGTGGTTAGGATATGTATTACTCATCCTTAGTCACTCCCTATCATGACTTGCAATCCAGGCTGAGATAGGAGTATGTAGACAGAAAGCTATTGTCAGTGAAATCAAAACATTGTATCAGTTCATGAAGTCAATCAATATTGGGCTGCTTTGTACTAGTAGACCCAGACTATTTGGTTGGCATCTGTGAGACAACTCCAACCTGCTTGAGGTTGGATGAAGCAGATTTGAGATTCAAAATTACTTCATATTTTCCTATTCACTGAATCCATCTCTTCTTTTCAAAATATATTCCACAATGTTTAATCTTTCTCATTACCATTGGTACTATTATTATTTCAGTTCATTTGCTATTCACCTTGTTAATTTCATCTCTCTCGGGTGATGTGGTACGAGAACTTGAACCGATGTACGTGTGTTGTGCTCCATGTGAATAATGATTGGCTGACGAATCCTCTGGTAATAATAAACTAATTTCAATAATGAACACATTTCTGCATACTTGAGAGGGTTAGCAAAAGTGAGTTATCTAAATTCATTACTAAGACTTAGTGATAGGATCTTTTTCTTTTTCTTTCAGATTTTAAAAAAGATAACTGTAGCTAAGAAGATATAAAAATCTGATTATTGCAGTTAAAATTATTCAAATATCTCTGACTGATTTAAGAAACATTTGATTCGCATCAACATATTTTTAGTAACTTACTTAACTGCAATATAATATTATCAGATAATTCAAATTACCTTATATACTGCATAGATTTGTTAGTATCAAGGTTATCAATAAACAAACTAAGCTCCGCATATTATTACTTACCAGAAAATCTTCGAAATCAGTGTTCAGAATGATCACATTTCGCTATGTCACTTTTGAACATGAACAGACAACGCTTACTGCAGCATAGTTATGAAGAACCATGTTTAGCCTTCACTATTTGGTTTGAAGCTCCGACAGCAGCCCTTCTAGGGTTAATGCTGGTCCCAAGCCTGGATAAAGGGGGACAGTTGGACATGAGGCTAGCGACCACGTCCTGTAGAAATATTTAAACTCCAACCTGGGAGTTTAAAAAAATTCAATTAAAAGAGCTACAATACTTCGTAATGGAAGCCGAGATCCTTTGGAAATCACGAGGTCGATACTCCTTCTGGCAGACAGAGCAACAATTAATATAGGTAGATAGAATGTTCGCACTGTGGGAAACCAGGAAGACAGTACAAGTATCGGCGGAGACAAGAGGACAATCTGGCGGCTCTTATAATAAATGAAACCCATTGGATGCAAGCTGGACAAAAAAGGCTAACTCAAGAAGAAATGATGTTGTTCTCTGGTCATGAAGAAGAGAATGCTTCGCATACACAAGGAGTTGTACTGCTGCCGCTTAAAGAACTATAAGAAACACCTATAGGATGAGAGTCTCACGGATCCAGAATCATCAAAGCAATCTTCAAAACAAAGAAAGAAGAGATCACAATAAGTTTTATCCAGTGGTATGCACCCACCAATGATAGCAACGAGGACGATAACGATCAGTTTTACGAGAGGCTGAAGTCTATAGTAGAGAAATGGCCAGGAAAGGATCTGACCATCCCGATGGAAGATCTAAACGCTATGGTTGAAATGGACGACACCGAGTATAAAGATATCATAAGATGACGCGGATTAGGAGAAAAGAAAGGGAATGATGAGAAATTTGCAAATTTACGCGCTTTCAACAAACACGATTATAGGTGACACCATCTCTCCCCCCCCCATAAACACAAAGCTACATGGGTTTTACCGGATAACGCTACAGAGAACCAGATCGATATCTGCATCACTAGAAAATTAAGAAGGCCAATGGAAGATGTGAGAAACAAAAGAGGAGCTGACATAGCTTCAGATCACCACCTGGTGGTGGTCAAGATCAAACTGAAGCTAAAGAAGCACTGGACAACTGTACGAACAGCACTCAACGAACTCAAGATAGCACTCAGCGTAAGTTCCAAGCCTTACGAGATCTACTCAGAGAAAAGGAGACTACTATGAGAAACAACTGGAAAGGGGTTGAAGAAACAATAACTTGAATATGCCATGGAGTGAAGGGCTGCAAGAAACATCAGCATAGAGTTTATCTCTGTTGATACCCTGGATGAGATTCACGAAAGAGAACAAGAAGACAGGAATCAACAGCTGAACAAGAGTAACCAAAGTCAAAGCATAGGCCAAATACACAGCCAAATAGGCAAGTGAAAAGGAGCATTAAAGCTGATGAGCGGGAATATGAGGAGTACCTACGAATGAGAGACGGAAAAACTGTAAGGAGATATGAGACAACTAAACTATATGACGAAAAAAATAACAAGGAAATATAGTAAACCAGTGCGACCAGTTTTTTTTGGTTAGCGCTTTTTAGCGAGTTAGTTTTCTACGGGATGGGGTCGCTAACCCTATGCCCAACCCTCCTCCTACATCCGGGCTTGGGACCGGCAGTAGCCCCCCGAGGGACTCCAGGCGGAGTTAATAAACACCAGAAGATACAGGTGTTTATTAACAGTTGTCTACGCAAAATACTTCGCATCCGTTGGCCGGACACTATTAGCAACAACGTACTGTGGGAGAGAACAAACCAGATCCCAGCGGAGGAAGAAATCAGGGAGAAGCGCTGGAAGTGGATAGGACACACATTGAGGAAAGCACCCAGTTGCGTCACATGACAAGCCCTCACATGGAATCCTCAAGGCCAAAGGAAAAGAGGAAGACCAAAGAACACATTACGCCGAGAAATAGAGATAGACATGAGAAAAATGAACAAGAATTGGATGGAACTAGAAAAGAAGGCCCAGGACAGAGTGGGTTGGAGAATGCTGGTCGGCGGCCTATGCTCCATTAGGAGTAACAGGCGTAAGTAAGTGCGACCAGTCAAGAACAAGGAAAACCGATCACGGAAACTAAGGATCAACGGAACAGGTGAGTAGAGTACTTTGAAGAGCTCAGATAGACCAGCCCCACTGAACCCATCAAACATCGAAGCAGCACACACAGATCTTCTTACAAATGCTACTCCACTAACAATGGAAGAAATCAGCACAGCCATCAGACAAATCGAGAGTGGGAAAGCAGCAGGACCAGATAACATACCAGCTGAAGCACTGAAGTCAGGCATAAAAATACAAACATGCTCCACGTTCTATTCAGCAAGATTTGGGAAGAAAAGCAAGGGCAAACAGATGAAATAAGGATTCCTCATCAAGATACTAAAGAAAGATCTGAGCAAGTGTGAGAACTACAGACGCATCACATTACTATCAGTACTGGACAAAGTTTTCGAAAGTGTTGTTGAACCGAATGAGATATTCAGTAAACGCCCAACTTCGGGACCAAAAGGTTGACTTTCGTTAGAATCGATCATGTACTGACCAAACCATGACACTACAGATAATCGTTGAGCAATCGGTTGAATGGAACTCATCAATATACATCAACATCCTTGACTATGAGAAGGCATTTGATAACGTGGATAGAACCTTCTTAGACACTACGGTGTACCTGAGATTGTCAACATCATACAAAATTGATACGACGGACCACACTGTACAGTCGTGAATAGAGGATAGCTGACAGATGCATTTCAAGTGAAGACCAGTGTCAGACATGGCTGCATACTCTTCCCCATCCGCTTTCTTCTGGTGTTCGACTGGATTACATCTCAGGAGAAACACGAAATAGAATGGACAGCTCGGAATCAACCAGGCGATTTGGACTTTGCAGACAACCTAGATCTTCTATCACATACACATCAGTAAATACAAGTGGAGACAGCCAGTGCAGCAGCAGCCTCTGCAGCAATGAGCCTCAACAAGGGAAAAGCAAAATCCTAAAATAAAACACAGAAAACAATAACCCAACCACACTTGGTGCCGAAACACTGGAGGAAGAAGAAGAAGAAGAAGAGACTCACACATCTGGGCAGAATTATAGATAAACAAGAAAGATCTGATGCAGATGTGAAGGGACGGGTTGGCAAAGCAAGGGCACCATTCCTGCAACTGAAGAACATATGAAACTCAAAACAACTCCCAGCCAACACCAAAGTCAGGATATTCATTGAGAACGTCAAGACAGTTAGATTGTACGATGCTAAAACCTAGAGAACCACTACAATCACCATCGAAAAGCACAGGTATTTATCAACAATTGTCTACGCGAGATACTCTAGATCCGTTGACCGAACACCATAAATAAAACCCTACTATGGAAGAGAACGAACCAGCTTACAGCTGAAGAGAAAATTAAGGAAAGAAGCTAAAGGTGGATAGGTCACATTGCGGAATCACCCAAACTGTGTCTCGAATCTACAAGGCAAAAGAAAAAGAGGAAGACCAAACGACACAATGTGCCGGGAATCAGACATATCAGAAGAACGAACAGCACTTGGCAACAACTGTAAAGAACCCAGAAGAGGGAAGGATGGAGATTTCTGGTCGACAGCCTATGCTCCACAAAGGCCCACAAATGCCCTGATACGGCCGAGGGTGGAGAGAGCAAGCTCTCCCTCTCGAGATGCTCTCACATGGCTACATGCATACAACCAATGCCAGGGAAGTCCTACTCACTGCCTTCTCATTGAGGGGAGTGCTGTTTACGAAATCGAGAGGACGAAAAGCGAAAGTCCGGCGCTTTAACCGGGTTAGTGGATACGAAGGGTTCATCTAGGGGAATCGGAAATTCTTGATTCCAAACTAATGGTGCACATGGGCTCAAGTGTCCTGAGGAAACAAATGGCATATGAACCAATTGTTGGTCACCAGGTACCATGTGTCCGTCAAGGTTGTCCACTTTCCCCATTTTTGTTTAACTTCATCATAGATCTACTGATGGAAATAACTTTCTCGTCGACTGAGTTCTCGGGTATTGATCTCCTACCAGGAGGTCCACTTATCGACTTAGAATACGCAGATGACATAGTCCTGTTTGGTGAAGACGCTGACAAAATGCAGAGTCTTTTAGTAGCACTGAGCAACAATGCCAGGATGTTTGGAATGCGCTTCTCTCCCTCTAAATGCAAGTTGTTGCTTCAGGACTGGTCGGCGTCAACACCTGAACTAAGGATAGGGAGTGAAGTAGTCGAACGCGTTGAAAACTTCACTTATATTGGAAGTCTGATCAGCCCTAATGGGTTGGTATCGGACGAAATCTCAGCACGGATTCGAAAAGCTCGTTTGGCTTTTGCCAACTTACGTCACCTATGGCGAAGGCGAGATATCCGTCTAACAATAAAAGGACGAGTATACTGCGCGGCAGTCCGTTCTGTTTTAATTTACGGCAGCGAAACATGGCCATTAAGAGTAGAAGACACTCGTAAGCTATTAGTATTTGACCACAGATGCCTTAGAAATATTGCTGGCGTTCGCTGGGATCACCGGGTAAGTAATAGTGAGGTTAGACGTAGGGTATTAGGGAATGATGATAAATCAGTTGATGAGGTTGTAAATCTTCATCGACTGAGATGGTTGGGCCACCTGTTACGTATGCCCGAACACCGATTAC